TGAGTCCGTCTCTCAGTGTCCAGACTAGGGATATGCCGGTATCAAATTTTCATGTTGCGATTAATTGCTTATGCTTGTATCACGGTATACGGTATTATCCCGGTATTGAGTTACCGTGATATATCGCATTACCGAATACCAGCACAAGTCTAGTTTAGATGACTCATACTTTGACCTTGACTGGTGTGTCATCAGTCTGAGTCCTTTAGGTGGCGCTGCAGAAGATCAGTGTATCTCCAGAAGTCTTGAGCTCAGGCTGGCGACTCCTTCAGCAGCAGGACACGCTCAGGTAAGACCCGTCTGTCTCCTTAAACATCATATACGGGTTAAATGTCGGGGTGTTTGTGTTACTGAGACTGAAGTAAAGCTCTCCTGGAAGAACTTCTTACATAACTGTTCCTCATCTGTCCAGAGTTCAAATTTTTGTCTCCGTGTCCACGAGTGAGTGAATTCAGTCATAAAAACTAACATCAAATCCTTCATCAGTGCAGCTGTGCTCCTCCAGATCTCAGTTTGTTAGTCTCAGTTATTTTCAGCTAAACATTTTAATGAGTAAAATGCCAAAGTAAAACCACATTACTGTCTGTTTTCCTCAAGCTCGTTGTTATTCCAGCGAATCCGAGTGGTGATTTTGTATCCAGTGTTTTGGTCTCAAAGCGACTCTTTCTGCACAAAGGTTTGTTTGTACTAGCTACTGATTTACTACCTGCATTAGTCACTGCAAACACACCGGCTTTATTACTGTTGCTCTGTACAGATACACCTCTGACAGAGATGAAGACTTCAGCACAGACAGTCCAAGCAGAAACCAAAACTCATCATCATTTACTCGCCCTCATGGTCCTCCCAAACCTCCATGACTTTCTTCTGTGGGACATCAAAGAAGATATTTTGGAGAATGTTGGGAACCAAACAGCTTGGGTTCTCATTGTATCGACAACAATTATAATGAAAGTCAACTTCATCATCTTTCGTGTTCCACAGAAGAGAGTCTTGAGTCTTTGGATTGACATGAGGGAGACATTTTATGGAGTGATACGATATTGTAATGCATTACTTTTAAAAGTAACTTTCCTCAACACTGCTAGAAGGAATGAAACTTGTTGCAAAGCTGCATGGCATGATTGGCGTCCTATCATCATAATAGCATGCTTAAAGTCACCTACATGTGTGTGTGTGTGAATGTGGACTGCATGCTGGGTGATTTTATACACCTGTGGCAATGGGTCTGATTGAAACAGCTGAATTCAGGAATTAAGAGGTGTGTCCCAATACTTTTGTTCATGTAGTGTATATATGGCAGAGAGTAGTGTCACTATTCAGCTCAATAGCGGTGTCAGGGTTGTAAAATTCATCAATTATGATTCGTGTCATGATGGGTCTTTGCTCAGCTGTGGCTTTGACAGAGATCTGATCTAAACTGTAGGAGTGTCACTCAGTCATTTGGGATTAAACTTGAAACCTGGTAACCACTTAATTGTCAATCACCTTGACATACAGAAAAATATCATATATTTGAATGGATTCTAAAATTATTTAAATATTGAATTATTATTTTATATACATATAATTATACTGTTTTGTAATTATTTTATATATGTATAATGTTATATATGTTATGATGAATTATTGACTTTAATAATGAGGAAACAATGTCTTATGCAAATTTCTAAATCAAAATACGGGTCTATTTATAGTTTTCTTTAAATTGTTCCTTGTTCCAGTTACATTTGTTGTATATAGCTAGTATAATTTTGTAAGATAATTGTGCAGCAATTATGAATCATGCTGAAATCTGAATAAACTTCAGGCAGACATCAAGGACAGTCAACATTTTATGCATCACAATTTAATCACAGTTGAACTGAATCATTGTTTTTTTACTGTCAATATGATATTGTATTTATATCTTGTGTGTGTGAGTGTTTGTGTGAGTGTGTGTGTGCGTGTGCGTGTGTGTGTGTGTGCGTGTGCGTGTGTG